TATCGTTACCGAGAATTCCTGTGAATGGTGAAAGCCCTGAAGCTAAAAAACAGTCTTAAGAAAAACGCAAAATAAGTTCTGATTCTGTTAAACGGGGTTTACTTAAAAACTGTTTGAGCGTTAAATAATTTGTCGATATTTTGCTAGAGGTTATCGGTCATGGTGGATCTAATGAACATGTGCGCGGTCGTGTGCGGCACATGCATGCACTTATGCAATAAAAGCTTTAAGTCCTTCACTTTGCTTATGAAGTAGACCATTTAATGATGAGGACGGTCTTTATCACAATCAACATGTCTTGGACTAGATTTCGAATGCAGAATAAGCACATATATTTCGTCTGAGTACAATAAGGGTAACTTTCTCCAATTTTTGTAGTGTTATAGTTTGAAAGCAATATAGTGTAATTGAATGAATATAGTCATTATACATAAATACAACAAATGTACAATAAATCTATTTTCATTCTCAATAACAGCAATCAGATGTCTCTTCTATTCTTCAAGTGTTTGTTCTCCGTTTTGTAACCGTTGAGAGAAAAATCAGAAAGATAAAAGCTCTTTCTTCTGGTATTTTATTTCACATTACTATTTTCGTTCATTATTCAAAAAAGTTAATTCTCATTGTGCGAATCGCATCAGTTTCAAAGTTATCAGTTTCGAAGTTTGAAACAAACTCACTTTCTGTAAATTCTGTGCTTTGTTTAGACTGATGTAGTTACTATTAACAATTTTCAGATGGCGCTTCACTAGCTTCGTTTGAATAATTTTATTCTCAATTACGTGAAGTTACAGGTAGTGTACTGGGGTCTATTCGTGCAAAAGTCCCAAATTAATTTTCAAATAACAGCTGAGCTTTTATCCATTTTTACAAATAAATACCCAGTGAAGAGAACAGCAATACCGGAAAAAGTATGCCAAATTGTTCCAGATGACTTTCTGTGTCTACTGGTATGATTTTGATCGAAGATACCGACTTCCTAATTTTCTAAAATTCTTTAAAGTCTATTTCCTAGGTCAAATATAGTGGAATGTCAGAATTTTATTCTACTTTTCCTAAGAGAAGTTTACCCAGAACATTGAAACGTGTGTAATTTATTGTTCATTAAACACCTTTTAGCAGCGCACAAAATGTGTCTTAAACGACATTTTTCAGCTAGTTAATTGGTCATTTGTCGCTATTATAACCGGAAACGTATGAATGCCTAAAAATAACATTTTCCAAGAACTTAGTTAGACCCATTGCATTCCACTGTAGAATAAGAACCAAAATGTACAATAAACACAACAAAAATAAACTGAAACTTATGATAATAAAAACGAAAACACAATAAAAATCTATTGTGAGTATTCAGTTGGTGCTGTACTATTTGTTCGCAATTGAGAGGCCAATCTAAAGTATAGCATCATAATATCACCTCCAGAACTTTCGATCTGGTCTCAGTAGTACCCATCGTTTCATCAAAGAATTGAGATCTCAACCGAAGGGAGAAACAGCACTTCCAAGCAACTGTGGACTCCCGGACCTACAGAAGCCTGGAGAATCCTATACAAACTTCCCAAAGTTCCAGAAACTGGGGGAATCCCTGGAAGTACAAGAAAAAATTGGAAAAAGGGATTAAGATCCGATGAAATCTCGAAAATTTGTAAACATGACTGAAACTGGGGCTAAGCAAAAAAAACGCGGGAAAATTCAAGCACAGTCCGGAAAATTCATCGGACTCAGCGAAGTCACGAAGAATACCAAGGAGTCTCCAGGAGTACAACAAAATTTGAAAAAAATTGATTACCTATGGAACGGAGCCCAGATTACAAAAGTCACAAAATCTGTTGTTTCCCTCTTGTTTCAACCCGTCTTTCGACGTTCTTTTTTTTAATATTCGTATCTTATGGTTCTTAGTGCGTTTTGTAGAGAATAAAACAAGATGTGCTAAAAATTGCTCTACACTGATGGAATTTGTTATCATAATAATTGTTTTACTGGAAACATTAGTTGTTGTTTTTTCCTAATGGTATTTTTTGCTTAATCTTTTTCGGCAACGAAAAATTTATTTGAGACCTGAATAATATCAGGTTTTGTTGAGTTTTTGTGCTCGTTCGAATGATATTAATTTAAGAAAATCAAAATGCTGCTACAGTTAGAAGAACAAGAAAAACAGAATTCTTCAATTTTCGAAGAAAACTTGTTCGTACTTTTTCTAAAAAACTTTTATCTCAATTTTCAAAGATTAAAAAGCTTGGATGTATATGTAAATTTGGATGGCGAATCTGAAAATCGCATTTTAAAAAGTATTATTTTTCGAAGGTTTTATCGTCTTGTTGCCAATTGTGGCTAAAATCACGGGTAGCGAATAATATTAAAATTCCTCGTCAAATTTACGATAATTGCGACCCTTCTTCTGAGGTGATCGAACCACCCGGAATCTAATATGGTGATGTAATTCAATAGGTGCCTTCTGATTAAGACTTTAAACTAACAAAACACATTCATCGTCATCCTCTATGTACATATAGTGTGACTCACAATCATCCGTCTCAGTTTTTTCGGCTCCTTATAGATATGAGGACATACACAAGGAAATACACAACAAACTAATAGCAAGAGAATCAAGCACGCTGAATATTGTAGTGATGTTTTCTATAGCATTGAATAGGTATATTATTTGTATTAATGAAGTATATCGAAGCGAATAAAATAGTAAACGAAGAAAATGTTTCGATTCTTTTTTATGGATGAAATATCGTATTTTCTTCTGTTTTCTATCACGAGCTGTAGATGTGCGACAATAACGGAAAAAACAGCAACAAAAAGTAACGACGGTTAATGCGAACGCCCTTCATGTTTTTCTATTAAAGATAATTAAAAAAATTAAACAAACGTTTGAAAAAGGTATTCATGAATTATTTTAGGTACCTTCGTCTTTATATCAAGCAAATGTGCTCCGAATGATGATGTCTTTTTTGAAAAAATTGCAAAAGTATAATTATATGGACACGTCACGTATACAGGGTTGCCGAAAAAAAAGTTATCCCCTCTGAATTTATTGGCTTTCTTGTGTACGAATATAATTGAACTTTTTAGCGATCAGTTTAGTCTAGTTAAGTACAGATTTCTGAACAAAATGAGACGTCTCCGAGCGTTTCTCATGAAACAGCATTCAAGGCACAGCATTATGGAAGGCCCTAAGAGCGTATCTTTCTTGTTTTCCCATTAATTGTCCTGATTGAGGGAACCCCACCAACTGATTAAAAGCGTTCAGGCTCATGTTTACACCATAAGTAGGACTTAGTGAGACCGAAGGAACCCTAAAAGTTTTTCCATTCATGGGCTTATTTCGCTAAGATATGAACGTTCCAAGTCTAGCACCGAAAATGTAGAGAGATTCCTTGTTGTACCTGAATTTACAACATTAACATATATCAAGACAAAAATTTATTGTTGAAATGCTCATAGATAAATCGCGGAGCTGTTGAAACAATTATGTTGCGATGTTCATCTGATGATCTAGCTGCTATATAAAGGAAGCATCAAGTATTAATACTTCACAACAATAAGTTATCTCAGATATGTGTTTCATATGCGATCATACACATTCCTCGATTGTTTGTATCTGCTATTTCGTTTGCATGCCTTGTCATTCGTGCTTTTATTTCTTATCTGTTATTTTACTATATTCTACTTACACTATTTCATTTCTTTATCTTTCATCCGATTGATATATTTTTTTCGGTTTCATTCAGAGTCAGAACGAGCAGAAAAGAAAGAATAAACAGAGCCTACTATAGAAATATTATAAACCTCATTCTGTGCTAAAACATTCTGCATTTATCTGTGAATTTCTTTGGATGTGAGATATAATTTTACATAAATCATCCTGTGAATTCTCAGGATGATTTATGTATGTAAAAACGCGTAAAACACTTCAGTCTATAAGTATTTTGGACAATAAAATTTCTTTTGACGTATATTAGTATTGCAATTCACGTACAACAAACAGATTATCTACATTTTCGGTGCTGAACTTGATACGTTCATATCTTAGCGAAATAGGCCCATGAAAGGAAACCCTTTTAGGGTTCCTCTAGTCTCACTAAGGAGGAAACCTTTTCAGGTGTCCGACCGCTTTTCTAACGAAATGCGGTAGTTTATAGGTAATCGACCATGCTGATTCCGAATATGATAGCCGCTTTTGCCCATAGACCTTTCCTAATCGGTTTCTGGAAAACCAGTTTTCCAGAAACCTCGAATAATCTCCAAGAGTTTTTCTAACTAAGTCACGACTGTAGCCCGCGAAATTCTAATTAAAATGAGACATCTCCCAGCTCTACACGACCTTTCTTTGCAAAGTTATAGAATTTACAAGAAAAGCCCTAAATGTTTATTGTCACCTCAGAGCTACAGAAAGAAGAGGGAAAGATGAATTTAGGGCTTTTCTTGTGAATTATATAATTTTGCAAAGGAAAATCGTGTAGAGCTAGGAAATGTCTCATTTTAATCAGAGTTTCGCGGGCTACAGTCGTGACTTATTTAGAAAAACTCTTGGGGATTATTCGAGGTTTCGGGAAAACTGGTTTTTCAGAAACAGGTTAAAAAAGGCCTATGGGCGAAAATGGGTATCATATTCGGAATCAGCATGGTCGATTACCTATAAACTACCGCATTTCGTTAGAAAAGCAGTCGGACACCTAGAAAGGTTTCCTCGTAAGTGCTACTTATGGCGTAAATATGAGCCTTAAAGCTTTTAATCAGTCGGTGTGGTTCCCTCGTTAGAGAGCTCGGAGGCGTCTCATTTTGTTCAGAAATCTTTACTCTATTCGACTAAACTGATCGCTAAAAAATTCAACTACGTCTGTACTCAAGAAAGCCAATAAATACAGAGGGGTAAGTATTTTTTGGGGCTACCCTGTACAAATATTTTAGTTATAATTTTAGTTTGAAAACAGAAAAAGATGAACGTTTCCCAACAGAGTTCCTTCAACTGTTCTTCAACTCGTGGTAAAATGAAAGTGGTGATAATTACTGATGATGAAACGATATTAGATCAATTAGATTTAAATTCAACAAGGAATAATAACAATGTCGAGACGTTAGTAGTTGATTTATCGTCGAATGTTAATGGTAATATAATGGAATTAGCACTTTTATCAAAGTTATCTGGACAAGTGAGTATTAATAACTGAGTGATATGAGATTTAAAGTCTCTTCGGCAGCAAGCTTCGGAAGTATAAAAAGTTCATCATGTATCCGTAGAAAAAGTATCTTGGTTTTTTGTTTTGTTAATAGAGTATACTGTGTATTATAAGCATTGAACAATGACTTTACACTCAAAAAGTTCTCAGAACTTTATGAAAAGATTTAGAATAACTTTATTATAGACTTCTGAAGGGTTAATACAGAAAAGAATTGGTCCTTTTGTTTTTTTTATGATTGTAGAAATATATTTCTTCATGTAGAATGAAACCGAGGGGCATATCTACAAACAGTTACTCAATTTACCAAAAAAAGATGATACTAGTTCGACATATGGTCAAATACAGAACATTAATTATTCAACAGTTTCGTCGGATACAAGACCGGCGACAACGACGGCAAGAAAGAGAAAAGCTGATTTAACCTGCGTTGTGTGTGGCGGAGGTGCTTTTGGATATAATTTTGAAGCGATTACTTGTGAATCATGTAAAGCATTCTTTAGAAGAAATGCTCTTCAACCACTGGTAAGAATTGTCATTTTTATGAAACTAAAAGATTATTCATTAGTTTTTCTTTCAGAAACAAATAAAATGTATTGGTAGTATGCCAAGAAAATGTAATATCTCAAATGAGATAACTCAAAAATGTAAACGTTGTCGATTAGAACAATGTTTTGCTGTTGGTAAATAAATGGTTAATACAAATATTAAATATTTGACTTGTTTGTTTACGATGTTTTGATAGGTATGAGAAAAGATTATATTCTGACAAATGAAGAGAAATTATTTAAAAAGAAACGTATTGAAGATAATAGATGTCTAAGACAGATACAAAGCAACGACAGTAACAATCATGAAGGGCAACAAGAAATCAATTTTCAGGTGAAAAGTATCGAACTCCCGGGACAATCTTCACAAGTGATATTTCGATTTTTCCATAAAATACAACTTTTCATGAGTTAGTTTTAAAATACTAATTACCAATATGCTGTTACTATTGTCAAACTTTTCGAGAAATCCTGGTCCCTGGAGATTCATTCAAAACTTTTGAATGCAAAGACTGAGTGATACGTTTTGGTTTCAAAATGAATTCAGGAAATGTTCATCAGATTTGTGATTAGCAGTTTAGAAATAACTCATGAATAACGGGTGTATCAGAAGAAATGAGTCACCATTTTGCTTATAACTTGGTTAGGATTTGTTTCCGAGACTCGATGTTTTTTTTGAAAGATGCGCTGCGAAATACTCTACAAAATCAGAACTAAACTAATTAAGTAGTTAATTTCATTAGTTAATTTCAGAACTTCAGTCAAGAAAACTAAGACAGTTAGATGAAAGTCGAAAAAACTGAGAACTTTACAAAATCAAAAATGATTTCTTATGTTAACATTTTAAAAGTAAGAAAAACTGAATTAGCCATTTTGTAGCCCTGACTTCGATCTATCTTTTAGCTTCATTTCAAATTTTTCACATCAAAAGCCACGGCCAAATAATAGTTTTTCTATCGGTTGTCCCGCATTTTTTCATTCATTTTTTAGATTTTCGAAATAGTAGTACTTTCAGTAGAAGTCTCATAACTCCATCAAAATAAAAGCTTTTCCAGTCGGGTTTGTTTTGTTTTGATCAGAAATGATTGCTCTTCCCTATCTAACTGCAAAATCAAAACTTCAATCATGTTTTCCGTGTCTTGTTTGAGCACATTGTTAGAAACGTGGAGATTGTCAACTTTTGACATATTTTTGTAACTTCGTTCCCAAGCATATCATCTGACTCTTTTTTACAGACCACGAGAAAGAGCACATTTGAAAGTACTAATGTAAACTGAGTTTTCACTTTTGCTACACTTTTTAAATAGTAGCAGAGGAAAAAGTTCAAGTCGAAAAAAAATTTGAGTTTATGAAGTTTTCATTTTTTTCGACTTTTATCTAATTGTCTTAGTTTTCTTGACTGAAATTCTGAAATTCTAGTTCAGGTATGATTTTGTAGAGTATTTCAAAGTGCATGTTTTAAAAAATAAAACATTGAGTCTCGGAAACAAACCTAAACCAAGTTCTAAGTAAAACACTGAGAGACTTATTTATTCTGGGACACCCGTTAATGATTTATTACCTGAATTCTGTAGTGTAGATATGGTTACAACTAAATAAGAGTATTAATATCAAAAAAATTCTTTATTTCAGCGTGATGGTCAATCCGATGTGTTTATTATTTTGTAGGTGATCGATGACATGAATATTAATATTCAGCCGTCGAATTCATCTAATAATTCATTACTAAGTACTCAAGAATGGTCTCTATTATGTCAACTTCAAGCATCACATGTAATCGCATCTCAGTTTACAGTAATACAGTACCAACCTGCTCAATTAACCGATAAAATGTCAGCATTGATTCAAACAACTGATATTCAAAAATTTGTTGCACTGAAACTCATTAACTATTTAAAATCTATAGAGGAATTTGAGCAACTTGATGAAAACGACCGTTTAACGTTGGTTAAATATAATTTACCGTGTCTATTTATGTTACATGCAACGCTAACATTTGACATTGTTCAAGAATTATTTATAGAACCAGATATTGATGAACAATATGCACAAGATTGTAAAGATTTATTTATCTATTATTATGGTCTTGAATTTCATCAACGTGTCGTTAAAATAATAGGTTTAATAATCGATTTAACTGCACGTGATCCGATCATTGTTGAACTACTGTTGGTAATTATGATATTTACTAAAGGTTTATCTGTTTATAATACTTATTCAGTTGAACCTATCTTAACAAATTCATTTCAAGTCTACCAGGCTCAATGTACCTATACAAGCCTCTTATGGCGTTATATGTTGCAAAAATATGATTTATCACTAACAATACACAAATTTTCCTTATTAATTACTCAAATAATGAAAATCCAAGAGTTTATAAGAGACTTTCAACAATTTATTGTTAATCAGGTTGACGTAGATAAAATCAATCCACTAATGAAATCATTATGGCAAATTACCTGATGCACCCTACGATAACGATTTATTCTGACATGTTGTTCAAGAGCGTCTCATAATTATTCGAAAAAATATGTGCACACCTGGATCTCTAACTACGATTTCTCTTTAGATGATTTCGATTATAGTTCTCACCCTAACAGTTTCAGATTTTTGATCTCCATGCTTCTTGAGATATTGAATTTTTATCTTTAAATAGTGCAGCCTGGCGAACTTCAAGACTCACGAGAGATATTCAAGTGCTTTTATACCAAAGTGGAGTTCTTTTAATAGTCCCTTCGATTGGCACACATTACGACCCCTCGAAAAAATCATCCGATCGAGTTCAAAATTTTACCACAGATATGTCAGACCCTATCTCAGGTTCAATCTTTCTAAAAAGCGTTTTCGACTTCAACTTTCGGCGTGAGAAGGTTTAGAAAATGAAAAACCGGTTTTTTATATGGGATTCTCAGTATTTTTCGAATATCTCGAGACGGAAAGAATATTTTTCGAAAAGAAAAAAACGAACCTGAGATAGGGTCTGAAGTATCTGTGGTAAAAATTTGAGCTCGAACGGGCCGTTTTTTCGAGGGATCGTAATGTGTGCTAATGAAAACTGGAGTTTGCCTGAAAACCCATAGAAGAACACGTCAGAAAACTCTGGGCAAAAATATATCGATTTTCTTTTTCGATGTCCTGTCTCTGGTATAAATTAGAACCGTTACCGACATCGGCTTCCCTAGTTTCCAAGAGCGTAAAAAAAGAGGGGGGGTGGGTACCCTTAAGGAACAAAGATCAAAAAGAAGATAAACGAAAAAAGATAACCGTTGATAACTAGTCGAACGGTTAACTACCAACCAGTCATTAAAGAGCCTAAATCTCGCTTCTACTATGCGCAGCTTGCATTCGGAAACATATTTATTCCATTACTCCAAAAATGATAATACAAAGGGGATTATTTTTGATTTCCATCAAAAAGATAGATCACATCGTTCAAGCACTCTCACAATGGATGGAAGTTTGAATAGTTATTTACGGTTACTGTTAATCATCACCAGTGCATGTCAAATCTAGACTAATTTGTTTATAGTAGTACGTCTAACTATATGGAATGGAGAAGTCAATTATTGGATAGTTTCTGACATAATAGTTTGTAGAAGAATTAGTTTATTTGTATTACAACTTTAATAAGTTCGTTCCATGTAAAATATCTAGAATTTCTTCATTTTGACCATGTATACAAAAATAAGTTATTCGATGTTAGTGACTATTTGTATTAAAATATTCAGTCAATTCCACCTGACATCTTTTACCACTACTTCACCAAAATCAATCAAACGGAAAGTTTTTGCTGTATGACAGAGCTCCGTATGGACTGAATTGAGTCCATAGTTCAGACCAATCCACACGAACTGGACTGAAAATTTTTCGAGTTCATTGACTCGGACTGGACTCAGAGCTTTGAATCCATATACAGAGCTCTGCTGTATAAGTTCTTGCATTCTCGACATTTATGCCAAAATCATGATTTTTAAATTTCTTTTTAAGCTTTTCAATTGAAACAATTGTTCAATAACTGTTCCATTATCAAACTAAGCATTCTGGCTATATTTATACTAGTTATTGCTGAACATTGCTCAACATAACTGATGTCTGTTCCGTTTAATAAATTCTGCATTTTTTCATAACTTTTATTATAATCAATTACTCAACGATTTACTGACACTACTGTATGGCTTGTCCACGTAACGCGACACTTCGCCGATTAAGTTTTTAAAAATTTTTTCATTGTCTGAGGACCGATATGAGCATCTCATCAGATGCAGTTATTCGCATTGATTACGAATCCGACTTCCTTAGCAAATAAAAATATAAATTGTAGTGGAATAATTTTAATTTAAAACTTTTGACCGAGAAACTTTTCTAAAAAATTTAACATTTATACCATCTGATAGAAAATAAAATCCTCTACCAATTTTTAGTATTGGATAGCTTATAAGCTTCTTTAAAATGTTTGTTCTAGACAGTTTCCATTTTCTCAAGTAGTTTCGCAGGAAACTGGCGTTGAATTGGATGTACTTGCAATTTAAGACCTTTTTCTGTCACGTCCGTCACGCACCGAATATTCCTTCCCAAAACCATAAATATTACCCAAATTTTCTCATTTTTTTACCAGAAACAGACGACAATGAACTGCACAAAATGGCAGTAGAATCATCTTTCTACTTCTTATAGTTTCTATAAAAATTAAGAATTACAGAAATGTCACCCCGTTACGTTTGGACAAACTGTATAGATAGTGACGGGCCGTCGTGTAGTCGTTAGTATTGACCGATAGATAATGAAAGGAGAGAAAAGAATCAAAATTACGGTATCGCTATAGTCCTTTATTCCTTTTTTTTTTTTAATATAAAACAGTTTATTGTCCCAAAAATGGTTGGCAAAGTAAAAAGAAATTACTATTTGCAGAAAAAGTATATTGTTACACTGATAATAAAAAAAAGACCGAAATAATACATAGTGGCAAAAAAAAATTCAAATATATAATAATAAAAAAGGCTCGTGTCATAGATTTTGTTTTCTCCTATTTATATACACATATTCTGTTGTTGTTTTTTTTTGTTTTTTTATAACAGTAGCATTAGAGAAGTTGCTTCAATACTTTAAAAACCAGAGATTTCCGACAAAAGTTAAGGAGGTTGAAGAAAATACTTATATACAAACATACATAACAGTGAAGGAGAATTTTTGTAGTACCCGTATTGCGGAGCGTGGTTTGATATAAAATTTATTATATCAATTTTAGAATGTTTCGCATGTAGAGAAAGACGTTTTAAAAATCTGTTGTTTTTGCGCAAACCTCATAAGCGATACCAGTTCTTCTCTGGATTTTTTGCAGCTAAATAAGCAACCCATGTCAACTGATATTGGGCAGCTTCATGTGATGTTTCAAGGTGTTTCATAAATCTTAGCCAGTAACAGACAAGATAATCGCGTAATGTAAACTCCTGAC